TCCCCAGGACTGAGCTCCCCACTTCCGGACCCACAGCCCCGAGGGCTGAGTCACCGAGGCCGCCACCGCCACCCCGTGTCCCCCTCCCCGAAGGGGAGGAGGCGGCGCACAGCAGGCTGCCCTTCTCCTGCCGAACCGAACCGAACTGAACTGAACTGCCAGGTGAGGTAAAGCCTGGCTCGCGGGGCATGCGCCTGTTGTCCCTGCACACCGGGAGGCTGAAGCAGGAGGATCAGGAGCTTACGCGGCCCGGGCAGTTTAGTGACTTAGCAGCCAGGAACCCAGGGTCTGCTGCTCTGCGCGGAGCTGTGTCCCCGCTGCAGTGGGGGGCGGGTCACGATGTGTGGGCCCGGCCATCAGAGGGACACGGGGGGGGGGCTGTGCCTTTCCCACGGTGACCAGGATGGCTCCAGGGAAGTCAGGGGCAGTGTGCAGCTGCGCAGCTGAAAGGCTGTGGTGGAGGCTGCAGCTGGCCCTGGGCTTGGGGACTTGCTGTCCCCTCCACACGGGCACAAGCCAGCCACTGAGCAGTGGCCAGGACCCTGCAGGTGACAGGGCGCTGGAGGCCCTAGGCTTCTTGAGTCCCACCAAAACTTGTGGGTAAATGAGCACGGAACCAGGTGTCCTTTTTGCACACCTGCCATCCCAGCACTTGGGAGGCTGAGGCAGGAGGATCGCTGTGCGTTCAAGGTCAGCTCAGGCTGCCTAGTGAGTTCCAGGTCAGCCTGAATTATGTAGTGAGACCCTGTTTCAAAGAAAAAACAAGCAGCGCAGAAAGCCCAGTCTAAATCATTGCAGGATAGAAACCAGCCTGAGATGCCCACCTCACCCCAAGGGAGGCCCCCAGGGGCGGGAGTCAGTCAGTCAATCCTGAGTACTCAGAACTTGGGCTGGGAAGGAGGCCCACCACAGCAGTGATTGGGAAAATTTTGTGCAGCTGAGCGAGGATGGGCCCTGTGGCCCGAGCACTGCACTGTGGATGTGCAGTGCGGTGGAAACTTACGTGTGTGTCTTCACCGGGGGCTGGAGCCCAGAGACACTAGCATGCGGTCACCCGGGGAGTACTATACACCCACAGAAAAGGTACAGCTGGATCTGTAGGCAAAAAGTAGATTGCAAGAGAGCTGCCATTTGCTTTTTTTTTGGTGTGTGTACGGGCGATCAAACTCAGGGCCTCTCGGTTGCCAGGCAGGCACTACACCACTGAGCTGTATCCCTGGGCACCATCTGCATTTCTTTTCTTTTCTTTATTTTTAGTTTAGGTTTTTTGGTATCAGGGATTGAACTCGGAACCTTGTGCTTGTGAGGCAGGCGGCGGCACCACTGATCTAAATCTCCGGCCCCCTGGGTTGGTTTGGAGACAGGGTCTCCCTAGGTGGTCCAGGCTGGTCTTGAACTCACCGCTCCTCCTGCCTTGGCCTCCAGTGCTAGAATGACAGGTGTGCACCATGACATCTGGCTTATTTCTTTATTTCGAGTCTGAGTCTCTGAATTGCCCAAGCTGGCCTTGAATGTGTGACCCGCCTGCCTCAGCTTCCCGAGTAGCTGCAGTTACAGGTGTACACTGCCACCCCTGCTCATTTCTGACTCACTTCTTTGCTTTGCCACGAGAGCTATGGGCTGGTCAAGTTTGTTTGTGTTTTGGGTTTTTTTTGGGTTTTTTTTTGGTACCCGGGATCGAACTCAGGCCCTTGTGCTTGTGAGGCAGGAGGTGGAACCACTGAGCCAAACCCCTGGCCCTGGGTGAAGAAATAATTCCCTTCTGTTCCCACAGGTGGAAGGTGACCTTTCGGAGGCCAGGACAACTGCAGTTCCCTCAGCTTGGCCACCCCCCTCCAGGAGCCTGGTATATTGTATTACTGTCCCCATGTTTTCCATATAATTTCTCCTTTTTTTCCTCTTTTTGTGAGACAAGGTTTCCCTACGTAGCCCAAGCCAGCCTCAAACTTGCTGCGATCCTCCTGCCTCAGCCTCTGGGTGCCAGGATGCCAGGTGTGCATCCCCACGCCTGTGACAAGACCTACTCTGACACCTGACCCTGGACGCCCTCTTGCTGACGCGCCCCGGCTGATGATAGCCAGCCTGGAGTTTGCAGTTACATTATAGTCTTTGCCAGAGACAATTTTGGGTGTTCTAAGACTGCCGTGCTGGAGATCATTATGTCTCCCTTCGTCTTCCATGACACCAACAAGAGCAAGTTCATCTGCAAGTCCAGCCCGACAGCTGTAATCTTATTCTGGGGGACCCGTTCTTCCTCCAGGAGATCCACGATTGGCTGGTCCTTGAGACTGGCCATCTTTGACTTAGAACCAAAAGGAACCGGCAGCACACGTCGCGTGGGCGTCGGGCCGAGCTGTTGCCAGGTCCGGACTCGTGGGCAGCTGCTCCCGCACACCTTTTTGGATATTTTTGAGGCAGGGTCTCACTGTATAGCCCAGGCTGGCCTTGAATTCATGGCAACCCTCCTGCCTCAGCCTCTTGAGTGCCGGGATTACAGGAGTGCACCAGCCCTCCTGGCCACTGCAGTGTTTCAAACAATGCCTGTGTGCTACACTGTTGATTTTTTGTTCGTTTGTTTGTTGGCACCGGGGATTGAACTCAGGTCCTTGCGCTTTCGAGGCAGGCAGCGGAACCACTGAGCTAAATCCCGGCCCCACTGTGGATTTTAAATATCCCCAAAGGCTTCTACGGGGCGGCTTCGTCCCCAGCGTGAGGCCACTGCAGGCAGTGGGACTCACGGGGCGGGGTCTACGGCGGAAGTGAGGTCATGGGGCGGGGTCTGGGAGGACCTTGTGGGAACCCAGCCTCTCTGCCCCCTGCCGGGACCTGGGCACCCATGAGCCGAAATCCGCCTTTCCCAGCGTCTCTTGACGCGGTCGATATTTCCCCGTGGTCGCCTGGGTGTGTTAGAACCAACTTAAGCCAAACTCTGTTGGCCATGACCAGAACGCGTGCCTGTCGGTGTAACGCTTGGGAAGCTGAGCAGGAGGCAGGAGGATCCCCATGAGTTTGAGGCCAGCCTGGGCTACACAGTGAGACCAGGTCTCAAAAAAAAAAAAAAAAAAAAAAA